TGTTGTTGTTGTTGTTGTTGCTGTTGTTGTTGTTGTTGCTGTTGTTGTTTTTGTTGTTGTTGCTGTTGTTGTTTTTGTTGTTGTTGTTGTTGTTGTTGTTGCTGCTGCTGTTGTTGTTGTTGTTGCAGTGTTGCTGTTGTTGTTGTTGTTGTTGTCGTTGTTGTTCCTGGTGCTGTTGCTGTTGTTGTTGCTGTTGTTTTTGTTGTTGTTGCTGTTGTTGCTGTTGTTGTTGTTGTTGTTACTGCTGTTGTTATTGTTGTCGTTGTTGCTGTTGCGGTTGCTGTTGTTGATGTTGTTGTTGTTGCTGTTGTTGTTGTTGTTGTTGCTGTTGCTGTTGCTGCAGTTGTTGTTGCTGCTGCTGTTGTTGCTGTTGTTGTTGTTGTTGTTGTTGCTGTTTTTCTACCAGCTTGCTTCGTAATCAGGACCCTGTGCAACTTTCCTATCTCTCAATATATGTGCTACCAGAGGAAATACTATAGATGATTACAGCAGTATAATTTCTTTATCTTAAAATATTGAAAGTGTCTGATGACAATATCTACGTCAATATAACAATCGAAGATGTAAAGGAGAGGACTCTGGTATTATCGAGTCGGATGTGCACGCGATATCGAAGACTATTGATTGTATGTGCTTATCACAGTAAGGAACAAGCGCGGTACTTTGGCGATAGCTTGATGAGATACGAGGGGAAGAACTTTATGAGTASTTAAGAACGGCCATTATAACCGAACGTCATCGGAAACCCAGGGTCTTTCGAGTAGAACCTGAGAAAATTGGTYCTAGTACGGAGCTGAATAAATATCTTATCTATAGGTCATTGATGTTTTCTTAAATATGTAAACTTTAATAATCCGGCATGTCTTGTTTCTCCATGATACTGTCAATCAAAACTGTATTGTATTGCATTTGAGATTTTAATAGCTCATGAATTATTCATGAATTTTGTCATGTTGATCTACTGATGTTGGTCAAATGATATAAAGATCTAGAATAAAACCCATAATATATAATATTTCCCAAGGGCTAGTATGTTTTCTCTCAATTAACTGAAACTTTATCTGATAATCAAAGATTATTGGATGGGATTCTCACGATATCGAAAATAAAGAAAACGCCCGATAAATAATTCATCATATTTAAGTTACATTAAGGTCCGTTTACACTTGCGATTTTTGCAGAGTGATTCTCGCAGCGATCGTCGCGCGACAGTCGCCTGAGTTTCGAACAGGTTTGAAAAATTGTCTGTAGCAACTTCGCGGCGATTTTCCATCGCCGCAATTCAACAATCGCATGGCTGTTTACACGTGCGATTTTAGTTGCGCGATAGCTAAGTTGCGATTATCGCGCGACAATCGCACTGCAAAAATCGCAAGTTTAAACGGGCCTTTAAAAAGCAAGGTTTATTTACTTATCTATATTTTAACGTTTTGGTTTGACACTTTTGATCGAATTGTGCGTTCCTATTTAACAAAGCTTATAATATATCCTTGTAGTTTTAGTAAGAATTAAACACAAGATATATCTTATATATTACTATATATAGTAATATTTTTGATTTTACAATCCTTAGAACTGCATCTCTTACTAATTAAACAACGATCAAAAAGCCACAAGTGGAAGAATTAAAGGATTAAGAACTTACGTCTATACAGCTTAGTAGATTTGCTCTTGGTTTCCCAAATATCAATACAAACGTTTAAATGAGATCTGTTTCAGAGAGAGTTTTGATTTGAACTGATCAGATACCCAATTACACACGATTTTGTTACAATTTTTCTCGTGATTAAAGCTCACGAGAGTTTTTAAATGAGAATTACGTTGATTTGGTAGCAATCAGATTGAAGGCTTCCTGTCGGGTTCAGCTCTGAGGATATCAGGTCCTTGGGATATAGATAATGTCAAAAGGAATGAGTTATACATCATTCTGACGCAATTATTGTTTATCTTTTTCGATTTATTGCCTTATAAATAGTTGTTTTTGAAACAGAATCAAGAAAAAACATAGTTATAAATTTGGAGATTAATTTATGACGTGTTTTGGTTTTCAGACTGGCGACAAAGTTGCGCGCCATATTATTTTTGAGCCATTGYAAGAAATAAGTACAAAGATTATATAGTAGCTAAATTTAAATATTGCTTATTAATTAAACTTATTAATCATTATTGATAAACAATAATTCAGAAATTCAGATATATGCCAGTTACGGTAATACACTTGCTTTTTGCAATAAATTCGTTACAAAGTCATTGGCGAATAGTTCACAGAAATGTAGTTGCTGTAAAATATATTTAGGATCACGTCGCTATGTTGTTGTGGTGTTGTTATAAAAGATATATATAGCAGTAAATAYATTTTTTTCAAGAACCTTGAGCAATCATGATTGGAATTAAGTGAATCACAGCCTTAATGTCTACGAYTGATTTACAAATTTAAAACTTTCTATATTTTCAATAATTAATTTGTTTATTGTATTTAATGGCTTTTGAAACACTTAATTATCTAGTATCTATATATATATAGAACTTAAAAGGACAAAAACAACAAACAGCCTTTTAGTTCAAAACTTCATTGGTGAAAGARGGMATTGYATGACGTCATGAATCAACACAACAGATCAAACTGGTTATTTTCACGATTTTATCAGCATAAAACGACAGATGTAGAAAAATATAATGATACAATTGAGTCAAAATATAAGCAATATAATCCAATCTTAATATTAAATGATATGCACGCTTTCGTTTTCCCACGAGTCTAATGGCGAAACTCGTATTCCTCTTCGTGGGGTTCCC